ATTGTATGATTATAATCATAACTTCTCTTTAGAAATCTGTAATGCATTATGAAATTAAGAAATGTGATTAAATGATAAAAATTATATAATTTATGTTTATTAACATAAAACTTTGGAATTTATATATTTCATTAGACTCATTATGACACAATTTAGATTGTTTTAGCTATACTATGTGACAACAATACTCACTGTAACAACCACTATAATGTTTATTGTGTAACTTCTACAATATTTTCTTTATAGCAACTTATATACTTTATTAACTTTATATAGTATGAATCTGAGACCTTAATGACCAATGAAGCAACAAGAGCGAAGGCTAAGCATCAAATATTGGAATTGAGATTGAATTCCATCTCCATCAACGTTTAAGCCAGCGATTGGTTGTAAGAAGAACAAAACGTCTTTGTGTCTCAAATTGAAGAAAAGATAGATTTGTCAAAACTCTCAACTTCAAAATCGTAAAATTAGTGGTTGATTTTTTGCACTACTCCATTGGAATCCAAACAAGTCCTTTTTGCTATCATTTATGTATGTATGAATTTAACTCAAGTCATTTTAATCTTTAGGTTTAGATACGACAATTAGACTTTTCATTCTGGGGTAAAATTTGCACATCATCTTGTCTTTCATAGCCGGTAACAATTAAGAGCCTTGGCGTTACCTTAAGAGTTCTGTTTTATTTAAGAGTAGATTTTTCCCCATAATTAAACTTGTATTGAAGTTAAAACGTCATCTAGTTTCAAATTAATATAAGGTTCGAGGGACTTTATTATTACCAACTATAGTTACGCAAAAGACTTTCCAATAAGTGTGAACATTTATGTTTTTTTAATTATTGTTAGAAGTATATATTCTTGGAAAACGTTGAATGGCGTGTAAAGTAATCTTCCATCCATCATTGCAATACTAAGAATCCTGTATTAAATGACACCAATTTCAATTCTATTCATATAAGCTAGAAATGGATTGTTGATGTTTTTAAGGAGAAGATATTAAAATCTACAAACTTGCAAACGAATAAATATCATGTCTTGTTAAGAAATATCTGATGTGTGTTGGGTGTAGAAAAGATGTTCACAGTAACAATTATTTTCCACAGTAAACATAATACTTAATACTCTTTCCACTTTCCAAAACACAATTGTGATTTCCTTACTACCAATATAGTTCGGCCGCGTAGAAAGCGACCTCCTCCAGCATTGGTTTAGCATTAGCGCGCAGGTCGTTTTCTAACAATCATCAATCAACAATCAACAGGCGCACACAGGCGATTTTGAGTTGCGCAACAGTTGCCCGACTAATCGGGGGACTGTTGCGCAACTCTCTCGGAGACTCTGAAGTCTAGCGACAGTTGAGCTGGAGTGCGCACACAGGCAACTTTTTAGTCGCGGATCTAGTCTTGAGACGTGTTGGAAATACATTCGTTACAGCGTTCCGAATGGATTTCAATGATACAGCCGTAGTATGTGCTTTGTTGCTGAAGTTTCGCGCGCGAAAGAAAAAGAGAAGATACTGGGTTCATCCCATATATATAGTGAGCGACTTGTGAAAGGACAGAGTCAATGACTTTAAATATAGTCGGCCTCTTCTCAACTTCATCAATTAATTGTTCGACATCCTCACCACGCACACTCATACTTGCAATTTTCTAAAATCTTCACACAACAAGAGAGCAAACACTAGTGACAGTTCTGGCCACGAGTAGTTGAATTCCTGGGGTGAGACTGAGCGACACAGCAACTATTTAGTTGCATGTGTGCGCATCTACACTTGTTTCAATGGATACCAAACCTGGAGCGACAGTCCCGCAACAATTCAGTCGCAGAGCAGTCGCTGGCAAATTGGGTCCGGGAACATCGGTTGCAACAGTTGCGCGACTGTCCCCAGACTGTTTCCTTCGTGTGCGCGCTCCAATTTAAAACAATGTTGAACATTTTAGTCGGGCAACTGTTGCGCGACTCAAAATCGCCTGTCTCAAAATCGCCTGTGTGCGCCTGGCCTTAGGGTCCGGGAACATCGGTTGCAACAGTTGCGCGACTGTCCCCAGACTGTTTCCTTCGTGTGCGCACTCCAATTTAAAACAATGTTGAACATTTTAGTCGGGCAACTGTTGCGCGACTCAAAATCGCCTGTGTGCGCCTGGCCTAAGCGGCCGAACTATAGTACAATTTTTACTTAATACATATGACTGATATGGATACTGATACCCCATAGCTATTAATTAATTTTATAATTTTTACAACAATCCTTTCAAAACAATTTACTAAATGATTTCGTCATCTAAACACTGTACCCTAGCAAATTCAAGATTGGCGAATTATTAAAACTTACCTATACTAAGGACGGCTAAGATATGGTCTTAAAACAATAGATATACAAAAGTAAGAAAAAATAGTATAGCAAAAAGGCTGAATATACATGTATAAAACAATATTATACAGAAGAGATTCAATCAAACCTGTTACTAGCCTACCATTAATATATAAATACAACATTCCCCATGTTGTTAGTCAGGCTGTTTATTACTACTGCTGTTTTGGATTATCGGCTTTCGATTAACGGCGCATATCGAAGGCAAGGCTGTAACATGGTAATGGTTGCTAATCTATGAGTAAAATCTAACCAACTTCTAACAAGTAATCATCTAAGGTTAGTGTAGCTCACGTTTACCTTGCATGTTTCACCATATTTTATAGTAGGCTACAATAGTTTTAAAAACATAGCTTTATGATAACAAAGGTAAACGATTCATTCTAATATATACATTTCAATATATTCAATATATTTTACATTTAAAATAATTTAAATAATATTTTTTTTTTAGATAATAATTGTATCTAGTTTTACGTATATCTGTTTGCCATAGGCGTTTTAGATTTCCAAGGATATTTAACTTATACCATTGCCCAAGCTACATAGGAAACGAAGCAAAGAAAAAAAATTAACTAAGTCATTTTTTAGGGCTTCGCTGACGTCAGAAAGACATTTCTTAACATAGAACCATTTTAACACCTGTCACCTGGAGAAAGGGGATTCCTGAATCTCCTAAGATAACAAAATCGACTCTTCAAATCTGACGATAATTGAACTGTCAGTTATTTAAAGTCAATATAAATGAAAATGTTAAACTAATAATTTATGATTTATAAAAATATGCCTTTTAGCGTCTGATAAACTAAAATGTAACAAAAGGCTTTAATGTCAACAGTTTTATGTGTTAGTCTTTTTCATGGGATTAATTCACTAAACCTTACCTTAGTGTAGTTTTTACCTGGCAACAATGATAAAAATTATGAAGACCTACCATTAAAAGTCCTTGGAGCCTAGCCATGCCAACTTATAAAACAATTACTAAACTACATAACAAATTTTTGATCTCATAGTGCCCTAGATATTTCAATTTTAATCCCTTTTGGTATCCGAACAAATATTTTGAGAAGGTAAATAACCCTTAGTGACTGTTTGAAATTAACACTGCTCTTATGGCGAGCAAATCTAAAATGGCCGTCAGCTTCCAAGGACTCAGTTGGAAAACAATTTCAAACCACAAAGAAAATCTCATAGCGCCCTAAACATTACAATCACTTTGGTATTTGAAAAAGTATTTTGGTAAATTACTCTTCAGCAGCTGTTTGAAATTAATCCAAGATGGCCAACATCCACCATGTAATATGATGAGTTGAATAGCGGGTTGACACCGTGAACGCATGATAATGAAACATTTTCTCACATAAAAACCTTTTACAAATAGATAAATTATACGTCTTTCGGTGTATGAATTTTGGTAATTTATTCATATCTGCATGAACACACGCACGACATACACATAAAATTAACCTACCACGTTTTATCTAGTATTTCACTTGAACTCTCGTTAATTATATACTTAACGCGTTGCGTTGGATGTCCTTGAAGGAAAGTGATGATTTTATAAAATGTTTAATCCATGCAATTGACATATCCGTTTGTTTGATCAATTTATCAATCGTTTTTAAAACGTTGTTTCCACAAATCTAATTAAACTATGAAATTATTGGAATCGTTACGTACCAGGCTAAATAAAATATCAAATTTGTACCTTTTCCGATTAATTACTTTAAATACTTTCCTCGATTTTCAATAACTAATATTTATTAATTATATTACTACAAAATCTGCTTTATTGAATGTTCGTTGTGAAGCTTCAAACACCACTGACTTTAGACACTGATTAAATGTGCGGAATATTATTTGTTTGTTTGTGTTTGTGGTATTTTTAATTTTTGTTGGATGACTGTCCAAGTTAAAATCTGTTTTCTATCTTGTAACGTCAGAGTTGTGATAGACAATATCAATTAATTAATCGAGGTTACAGATATTACTATTCGACATTATTTTCCTATTGAGGCATCATTGTTAGAATATTCTAAATCTTTTCTAGAGTGGACCTTGACATCCATACAGGCATATTTATTTAATATTTATCCAGCCAAAACCACAAAAATAAATCATAAAAGAGAAGATAGAGTTTAGGCTACAGCGAACAAAAGTTTTAATTGATCAACTGACGTTTTAGGCCCTATTAATGTAGTGAGCTATATAAGTAGAAATCATTCAACAAACTAAGTGTTTTATTTACTTGCACGACTATTTCACACGGTATAAATCGAACAAACTTTTGTATTTTTTTTATTACTTGGTCAAGTTGTAACTATGAACGAAAAACAAAGATTTATATTCAACAGAAGCATTCAAAGAATTTACTTTCCCACATAATATCTGTTCTCGGTGGGCAATTACTCAGTTTAACGTAACAATATTGTCAACTTGTCAGTTGCAGCTTAACCCTCTGTTACATATTAAATAAAAGATGTGTAAAATAAAATAGGTGTATTCTGAATTGAATCCTAAATAACAATGATTGTAAACAAAAACAAAGTTAACTTATTAAATATAACATATGGTATTTTATTAAACATACAGTATGTTAGAAAAGACACATCAATTTTCCCCCTTTAAAGTCTTGATCGCAGCATTTGATCTACATGTCGTCTGCATGTTACTCCGTTCTCCAGTTCAACGTTGTAATGTAGATTTCCATCTCTTGATGTAACTTTTCCGAAACTCCATTTTGTGTGACCCTTGTAGTAGTTTCTCACTTGAACACGGTCTCCCACCTTAAATATGCGTGTTATACCTTTAGGTTTGTCTTTTGAGTCCTCGATTCTAGAAGGTATCATAACACTGAGGTATGTTCTTACTTGTCTGTTGAACATGAGATAGTATGCCGAGTTTCATGTTGAGTTTGGTACTTGACGGAGTTGAATTAACGCCTTGTGAATTTTACTGTCAAGTGTTCCTGGTTCATCTAATATCGACTTCAACATCTTCTTCACTGTTTGTACAAAGCGTTCAGCTTGTCCATTAGATGATGGGTGGAACGGAGCAGTAGTTTTGTGTTGAGTTCCACATGACTTAAGAAACTCTTGAAAAGTAAGAGAAGTGAAACTTCGTCCATTGTCTGAAATTAGGAGGCTTGGAAGACCAAAAGTACTAAAAAGTTTCTTCAACTCCTTAATAGTCCAATCGGTAGTTGCTGTTTTTGTGGGTATTACCTCTACCCATTTGGAGAAGGCATCAACAACAATGAAAAATTGTTGTCCATTTGTTGGGCCCATGAAATCTATATGTATTCTCTCCCATGGCTGAGTTGCTGGTTCCCAAGGATGGTTGATCTCTTTCGTTGGAGAATTTTGTTTCTCACGACAAGGCTTGCAAACAGCAATCATGTTTTCAATGTCTTTATCCATTCCTCTCCAAAAGCAGTAACTTCTTGCCAAAGCTTTGGTTTTTACTATACCAATGTGCCCGTAGTGTAGTTCATTGAGAATTCTTTTCTTGAGGGAATTTGGGATGATTACCTTCCACCCTTTGAAGAGGCATCCTTCATGTAATGTAACTTCATTATCGTGAAATCCCAATGGCTCTAATGATTGACCCTCCTCAAGAGCCTCAAGAATTTGTTTTAGATATGCGTCCTTCTTAGTTTCTTCGGCTAGTTCTTTGGGATTGATAGTTATGGTGTTCAATTGGTTTGTTTGAAAATGTCCAAACTGGTCAATACTTGTAAATTTTGAATCTTCCACAGGAAATCTTGAGAGGAAATCTGCATTCCCATGGTCACCAGTTCTCTTGAATTCAATTGTGTAGTTAAATCCTGATAAAAAATGGGAGTAGTTGAATAGTCGCGTAGCTGACATTGACGGTAGGCTCTTGTTGGGATTGAAGATTGACACTAATGGTTTATGGTCCGTGATGAGTGTGAAATGACGTCCGTAGCAATAAGAAAAAAATTTCTTCAACCCCCAGTATATACCTGTGGCTTCTTTATCGATTTGGCTGTAATGTTTTTCAGCATTGGTCAATGATCTTGAAGCAAAAGCTATAGGCTTTTCACTTCCATCTGGGAAACGATGTGATATCACTGCTCCAAGTCCCACTGGTGAAGCGTCAGTTGCAAGGATCAATGGCAGGTCTGGGTTAAAGTGACAAAGAACTGTGTCACTTGTTATTCTTTTCTTGATGTTTTGGAAACTTTCTTCACACTTACTGTCCCATATGAATGACTGCCCTTTTTTAGAAGTCTATGTAAAGGATTTAAAACAGTGGACAAATTCTTTACAAACCGGTTGTAGTAATTAACAAGCCCTAGGAAAGATCGGAGTTCCTGTATGTTTTGAGGCCTTCGTGCATTTGTAATTGCTGTGATTTTATCCTTACTTTTGTGGATTCCAGTGGCGTCAATAACATGTCCTAAGTATTCAATTTTCTTTTGAAAAAATTTGCACTTGTCACGGTTCAACTTCAAATTTTGACTCCTTAAACGCTCAAACACTTGCTTTAGTCTTTCTAGTAGTTCTTTTGATGACGTTCCTTGAATTATTATATCGTCGAAGAAGCACTGAACACCTTGAAGGTCTTGAAGGATTCCGTCCATCACCTTTTGCCAAACTCCTGGAGCAACTTTTACACCAAACATCAGTCTGTTAACTATGTATTGTCCTTTATGAGTGCTCAAAGTTTGAATTTCTGCACTCTCAGCATCCATTTCCAAGTGGAGATAAGCGTTACTTAAATCCAAAGTACAGAACAACTGTCCTCCATTCATTTGAGCAAAAATGTCTTCGATCCGAGGTATTGGATGATGTTCTTCTTTGATTTGTTTATTTACTGTAACCTTGTAATCAGCGCATATTCGTATGTTACCATTAGGCTTTACTACAGGTACAATTGGAGTACCCCAATCGGACTTGTCTGTTTTGGAAATGATTCCAGCTTCTTCCAGACGATTCAACTCGAGTTCTACTTTTTCAGTTAGTGCATATGGGACTGGACGAGCCTTCACAAAAATAGGTCTTGCCCCTTCAACAAGCTGTAAGTGTGCTTTTTTGTGAGGTATGAGTCCTACTCCTGGTTCAAATAATTCCTTGAATTCATCCAAAAGATCTTCGAGTGCAGTAGATGTAGTGTTGTTACTAACTGTTTTAAGTTCTGCCCAATCCAGTTTGACCTCTCTAATCCATTCTCTTCCGAAAATGGCATCGAAATTTTGGTTCACTATGTAGTTTCCCAACAAACACCTGATCATTGTAAGTGCATTCTACAAAGACGACACCCCGGGGTTTGATTATCTCGCTTGAGTATGTCCTTAGTTCTATGTTTGTGTGGAAAATCTTTTTATTTATGTTGAGACTTTTGAAGGTAGAGTATGGTAGAATACTTATTGCTGCTCCAGTATCTAACTCCATCCGCACAGGTTTACCTTCAATAAGTATCTCGACCATAAACTTGTCATTACCGGCACTCTGGTTGTGTATCTTAAAAACCTCTTGTTTCTCTTCCTTATAATAGTCTATAGTATTGTCAGTTTCGGTACAATGAATTTCTGTTTGTTTTGTGCCTAAACATACGCTAGCAATATGCCCTTGTTTGTTGCATTTCTTACATATTTCTCACTAAATTTACACTGATGTGCCCTGTGTCTAGGTGATCCACAACGATAGCATTTACCTTTGAGGCGTTCAAATGGAGACTTTAACTTTTTGTTCCAAGTAGGAGAAAAATGGGGTGGTTTTGTTCCTGTACCTGCTATCTTGTTGATTTTCTCATTTGAATGAATGTTTTCTTCTACTATATAGCTTTCGTTCTTTGCCAATTCCATAATGGAGGCAAGTTTCACTACATCTTGAAACGATGAAGCAGATCTTTCTTGTAATAATTTTGTTCTTATGTCTGAATTGCTAATACCTCTTATAAACTGCATGCGTAGTAATGTGTTTGCAATTGATTTCCCACAATTATTACAGTTGAAGTCACAGTCTGAAGATAACTTTTGAAGCTCAACGGAATATATTTTTACGGTTTCTTCAGATTCTTGTGTTCTTGTCATAAATTTGTGTTGTAAGGCCCAAGTACTAGGTTTAGGGTCAACATAATCAGCCAAAAGACTTACTAATTCAGCATATGTTTTATCCAAAGGACTTTCAGGAGCGCACAAATCATACAGTTTCTGATGTAAATGTGGCGTTAAGGCATGTAGCATTGTGTACACTTGATCCTTTGGTTCCAATTCTTGGCTATGTAGATATAGAAATATCTCAAATCGACGAATGAAGTTCTTGAATGATTCATTTTCCTGATATGGTGTGAAAATCATTGAGGAAGTAGTGGATCGACGTTGTGGAGTAGACAAATTTGATGTACTAGGCACAATATTTTGAGTGTTCACTTGTAGTTCTGCAAGCTGTCCCATACGTTTTTGTAACTCATCCATTACCTTGTAATATTTGTCCTCCATTTCTACTCTGTAATCTATTTCTTTCTCAATTTCAGCTTCTTCAGTTTTCTCTTCTATTAATTGTTGTACAGAATTAAATCTTTCCCAATAATCTTCAATTGTTGTTATCCTGGTTTTGATTACTTCTTTTGACATGTTTTGTAGGTTTGCTAGCCATCTTTCAGCCTTAGACAACTGACCCTTCACTACTACTCTAATCTTCTTTAAATCAGTCAAACTTTCAGTGTAACTTAGGTCACTCATATTAAAAAATAAATTGTAATAAATAGAATGTAAAAAAAATTAAAAACTGGTTTTCCTCGTCGCCAAACTGTTACATATTAAATAAAAGATGTGTAAAATAAAATAGGTGTATTCTGAATTGAATCCTAAATAACAATGATTGTAAACAAAAACAAAGTTAACTTATTAAATATAACATATGGTATTTTGTTAAACATACAGTATGTTAGAAAAGACACATCACCCTCCATTAGTCAACTACAGTCATTTGTTGACTTCTGTACAAACGCTATTTGTTGTGTGCAAAAACTACTTATTTATTCTTTTTTTATGAGCATACTATATGGAATTGCTTTAAAAATGCTTTGAAATATACGAGGCTAGTTTATAATTTAGCGATATTCAATTAAAATGTCAAAAATATACTCTTAATTGTTTATCTCTGTAATCAAGTAAAAAGTTCAAAAACTAAAATATTCCACATTGAAAAATCATTCCTTTCAATAAATTTGTCCTATTATGTTTGGATGCGTTTTAAAATAAATATGTTATTAAGTGTTGGAAATATAGTCTGAAATAACGACTCGTCTTCTGATCAAAAATTAAGTTAATTTAATTGTAAAACAAATAGAATGAAAAAATAGATTTCTGTATACATCTTACTTCATCAAAATATAACAAACAACTAAACTCTGTTGCCAAGGAAACATCATATGTTCTTTTCTAACATAACTATTATGGACATTATAGTATGAATAAATTATATCTTTAACATTAAGTGTACAATATATACAGATATCTCGAATTAGTTTGATATAAATTCGTTTTTTTCCTCAAAAAAACAAAATAAATTGTATAATTTCGACATCATAAGATGTGGGATTGCCCCTGAACTGGTTATAGTAACTAATATAATGGTTTTAAATACCTTCAGTCACCAGTTCAAATTAGTCGGCTATTGCGACCTAGGTTTCGGCACGAAGTTGTACCATCATCAGGCGGGCCAGTTTTGAGTCTTCAGTCCAATGGACGTCGTTGGGTTAAAACAAATAACAGTTTACAACATACAGCACAAACACGCACACGAACACATATAACGAATAATACCGGTATTTACAGAAGGACGACATTATTGTAGGTTCACCGGCCGCGACGGGTGACATCCAAGCCACAACTCCAAAAAAAAAAAAACTATTAAAAAGTTATTTTGCTGATTGGACATATTACATCCGTACCGAAAACCAGTCGATTCGGAATCGGCAAACGGCATTGCCAAACGGCACGTGTAGGCTACTTACTTGCCGCATGGCATTGCCAATCTGTTCCATTCGGCATACTGTAGTGGGAATGCGGCTTTAGTGTTGTGTACCTGTGCGTGCCTCGCCCAGTTGGCACCTGTTGCCTTCTGTATTAAAACAATTAATTATTATGTTAAATCTTGAACTACTACAAACTCACTTTACAGAATGGGAAAAATAAATGCCAATCAACACTGTAAAAATAGTTAAACCATTAGTCAAAACAATTACCCTATCACATAATTTTACTAAAATACGTTTATTGGTAAAAAAAAAGAATAAAATGAGATAAAAGAGCCTTAGGAATTTAGTCAAAAAATGTAAGAGCTTTTTTCAATCTTCTTTTTACATCTTATTATTCTAGTTCTATGCTAAAACAAACCAAATTTACATAATCATTACGTCGGTCATCATTAATCCTGTAAAATTCAGTCAGTTATATGTTTAGTAGTTAGCTTTTTTATAAAAATCTTAAATGAACAATTGATTAGTTGTGAAGCAAAAACAAATATGTTAAAAAAGTTAATTTTGTAAACATATTTGCCACCTGATCAATGATCATGAAGATCTGCGAATGATCATTGAAGTCATTAGGGCAGAAACGCCGCCAAATTGCTCCCTCGCTTTCATCACCACCAATAATTGATTTCCGAGGTTTTGTGAGGGTCTATTTCTCGGATATCTTCAGTTTCACAGTTTAAAAAATACAAAATTAAGAATTATACTGTAATTGCTAAAAAGCATTACTAAGGTAGCATTTAACAAGATTTCATACTCAGAATGACTTAAATGTTTGTGTGCTACATATTTCTCTTGACAAATACTTAATACATTTTCTCATAGTCAGGATTAAGTTTTGTATAGTTTAAATAGCTAAAAATAAAATAACAGCTCACATTGATAAAACATTGGCAGGATTTTACTTAGACGTGCAATGTAGCTCTATTTCAAACAACGGAAAACAACACGGCTAGTAAATATCAACTTTACTGGTTTATCACATTGGATGGTTTATTATTCTGTATTCGATGTTGGTTTTCTTTACGGATAAAACGGAAATAACATAAACACAATACTGAAACAGCACCACATGTGTGAATGTTGGTTTTATTTGGATATTCGGTTAAAATATTATCGTCCTCACTCTGGTTTTTATAAATTTAGTAGCTGTTTCCCCACCCTTGTCCTTTGTAAACTTTTCAACGGTGAAATAAATGTGTACCTATTGAGTAAAGCTTTGTAAATCGTGGTTCATTTTCGGATGACAGAACTAAACTACAAGTTTAATAGTATGAATATTTTTTTAACAACAGTTTTTTTTTACATGTAGAGTCTATATTTGACAATACCAATAGGGTGGTTGAGTCTGTATTTAACAACAGCTCAGATTCTTCAAGTTTTTATTACTTTATATTTACAAGACGCATCTTGTAGATTTATCCGTGGCATATTTTTGATTTCTAATAAATAAATAAAATCCAAGCACACAAGTCTCTAGAAATTAATTGTTTTATAAAACAGTTTAGCCTAGAATATTTCAATAAAAAACATGTTTAAACATTGGTATGAAATAGTACAAATCACCACTAGAACCTAAAACGACTCATTTTAACACAAGCTTAAGTTTTTGAAATTGAACAAGGAATCGGCAAACTGGAAATGCATATTACATGGATTTAATATAAAAGAAAAAAATCTATATTTACTATCTTAGGATATCTTTTATCAAACCAAGAAGCCTCTCAAAGACCATTGGATGCCACTGTATATTGGAACTGCAGAATCGAGGGCAATATATTCAAGCAAACACTGAATAGGCGGTTTTATCTTTCATTCATGTGTTTGGTCGGTTCATTAATCTTTCATTGTTTGTGGCTACCTCCAAACGTTGGGTCAGGATTGTGAATTTATTACAACATTCAGTCATATTGTAAAGAAAAAATATACAAACGAATTTTGAATATCTTTTAACTATGATTAAGCCTTTCATGTAAAGATAGCGATTTTCCGTGACCCAAAATGGTAGCTATATAAGTATAGTTTTATTATTTAATTATTTAAAATAATTCAGTTAGAGACCAGGTGATGCTACGTGTGTTGCATGTTCATCACTTGAAATGCATTGTTGAGTAGATTTGCAAACACGTATTAATCTACATCCAAACGAAATTCACAAGATAATACAGAGTTTTAATATTTTTGTACCGGACCTAAATAGTTTCAATAAAAAATATAAATAAATTGGATTAAATACGAGTCGTTTCATGTCAC